TGAGCGCCGCCGAACCTCCCCGCGCCGCCCGGGCTCCGGGCCAATGGGGAGGGTCACGTGGCACATCTGGTCCCGCCCCTCCTCGCCCTCTACCCCGCCTCCTAAGTGCGGTTGAGACGCGGAAGTGCTCTCTTCTTTCCGACGATTGGCTGTTAGGATTAGATTGACAGAGGGGGCTGCGTGGGGCGGGACCACTCTTAAAGGGGCGGAAGTAAGAAAGCCAAGTCCAGCAGGTGGACGTGTGAAAGGTTCTCTGAGGCTCCTCCACCCGTCAGCCCGCACTTCAGACGCCATCGCCTCTCTGCTCCGGCAGCATCCTCTCAAACACTTGCCACCCTCCACACTGCCCTGGAGTTGTTTACAAGAGCGCATCTCTACATTCATGCCACAACCCACTGTCCTCTAAAATGCAAGGTATTTTACCCTAAAGAGATGCAGCCAATCAATTACCCACTCCAAGTCAGAAGTACACGTTTTTATCGAGCAGGTATTCCAGTGAGGGCACCACAGCGGTGCAAAACAGACGGGCTTTGTGGTGTCCTGTTTGAAGTCCGAATGCACAAAGAATACATACTTTTGGCTGTGGCGTGGACAGGTTTGGGGGAGTCACGAATAGATGTTTTTCATTCGTGCAGGTTTCAGGATTAACCATGGGAAACAACTGTTGACCATGAGCCAGCACACGGGACAATAAGGTTAAGTGTTAGGCCAGACTCGGGACGTCTCGGTTGACCAACCACACAGCAGGGCCGAGCTTTTAATCATTAACCGAAACTAAAAACAGACTCACTGCGCTGATTCACAGAGACCACATAAAACAGGGTAGAGCTGCCTCTCTGAATTTCAGAGGGTGCCATCCCTTATGCGAGTAGAAAGCCTCATCTTTCTGAGGAGCAGGCTGGTGGATTCGAATAGCTAACTTTGCAGTCAGCAGCCCAAGTCAGAAGCACGAAGCCACATCTCTACATGACTCCCTAAGGTGTAAACTCCAGGGCCAAAGATATATATCCTATGTATCTGGACTTCAAACAAGGGCTCCTGACTAATCGAGGACAATCAGGTAAATAAGAGAATCTGCTCGGCCCTAGGATGACTTCCACCGCAGCCAACTTGTGTGCTTTCTAGCCATGTAGCAAGTTCTAAAAATGTCGTTAAAAGGGCACTAAATATTGACACAATGGATGGATATATGGACTGCGATAACAGTTGTATGAGCCCCCAATAAAATGATTTTTTAAAGGAAAAAAAAGGGGCACTAAATAAAGTACCTTAGGCTAACTGCATTTTCTTTTTTTTTTTTTCATGGTTAGAGACATCAGTTTATTGAGCACACAGAAGTGGCGGGCAGGCACTTAAGGCCATGAGCTGACCGGCAGCCCCTCACAGTAGCAGCACCGAGGCGCTGTCAGCGGCCTGGGAGAGGGAGAAGGCGGCCGTCCCGCCTGGATCTGCTTCACGGCTGGAGCTGCAGTGGCAGCCTCCAGCAGAGTCACCGTGCACCTGCCAAAGCCTGTCACCACACAACTGCCATAAACCCCGGGCACAGACAGCGCAGCCTCCACCAGCTGGTCCAGCTCGGGCCAGCTCACCTCGAAGTCATCCCTGAGCGAGGAGTGACTCTCTACCATGCCTGCTGAAGCCCGCCTTGCTGACCAGCTCTTGGCCAGCTTCAAGATTCTCCAGCTGCACCTCTGGGAGGTTTGCCTTGCCCAGGGCCTGGGCCACTGCCTTGCACTGGCACCACCAACTAGGGTCCGCGAGGGGTACTAGGCTTGTCTCCAGGGACCTGCAGTCGATGAGCAATGCATGACCCTTCTGCCCCAGCAGGGCAATGGGCTGGTCCATGATGCCACAGGGCACCCCCGAGAAGCTGTGTGCCTGCTGACACACCTGGGTCCGGGCAGCTAATTCTCCCGAGCCTGTGCAGAGTTGGTGGAGGAAAGTAGGGGCTCGGAGCTGACAACTGCCTTGAAGCCAGGGAGGGGCCAGCTGGGTAGTGCTGATCACCCTCTTGATGCAGTTGGCCCAGTGGGGCGTCCCAGGCTGCAGCAACCGCTGGGCTGGCCTTGGCCAGGGGGAACCGCAGCTGCCAGGGCTCATCTGCCAGCTCAGCCGTGGTGACGAGAAAGAAGAGCTTGTCCAACCGCAGGCTGCCAACCTCCACAGTCATCACCTGCAAGGCCAGGCCCTGGTTGTAGTCCGTGCGCTCCCCATGAGGTTGACTTGGCTCAGTGCTGCCATGGCCAGCTGGGGCTCCCCACTGTACTCCTCCTGCTTGGCCTGCTGGGCTCCCCACTGCACTCCTCCTGGACAGCCTGCT